TATGTGTATGTATATATATGTTATATATGTGTATGTATATATATGTATATATGTGTATGTATATATATATGTATATATGTGTATGTATATATATGTAATATATGTGTATGTATATATGTATATATGTGTATGTATAATATATGTATATATGTGTATGTATATATATGTATAATGTGTATGTATATATATGTATATGTGTATGTATATATATGTATATGTGTGTTGTATATTATGTATAATATGTGTATGTATATATAGTATATATGTGTATGTATATATATGTATATATGTGTATGTATATATATGTATATATGTGTATATATATGTATATATGTGTATGTATATATATGTATATATGTGTATGTATATGTATGTATATATGTGTATGTATATGTATGTATATATATGTATATATGTGTATGTATATGTATGTATATATGTGTATGTATATATATATGTATGTATATATATATGTATGTATATATATGTATATATGTATATATATATGTATGTATGTATATATGTGTTGTATATATGTGTATGTATATTGTGTATGTATTATGTGTATGTATGCATGTATGTGTATGTATGTATATGTATATATGTGTATGTATATATGTGTATGTATTATGTGTATGTATATATGTGTATGTATGTGTATGTATATATGTGTATGTATATAATGTGTATGTATATATGTGTATGTATATGTGTATGTATATATGTATGTGTGTATATGTATGTGTGTATATGTATAGTTATATAATTTGTTGAAGTACCCTTGTCCATTCCTTTACAGATTATGCAGTGGTTACTGTGTCTCACAACAAGTCCTCTGTGAGGCAAGGCTCTCAGCTCTCACATAGAAAGCAGTACTCAAGCCGAGAACAACAGAAGAGATGAGGGAGGGAGTTGTGACCTCAGATCGCCAAGGAGGGCAACTGGAGTATGAGCTTGTTTCCACATTTTTGGCGAGAGTCCACTACATGGACATCATTCAAGCCATCAAGTGGAATAGAGCATTTTAGATATGAGTGGGAATGTTGTGAGGCAAATGTAGTCTCATATATCTAGAAATGTTTTACCCAATAGGAAAGCAAAATATTGTATTAAATTATTATTATAATTTTTTTTTTTGTTTCTAGTAACCTTTTTTGATTTAATGATTGCTGTCTCACAGAGATCCTCTTGTTCCATTTAAAAATGGTAGTTTGTGTATAAGTAAACTACAAAAAAGATAGTAAAAATGTAAAGTAGGAATATGTAAGTTAAAAGGTAAAAGTTAGAAAAAGAAGAAAAAAAAGTAATGTCAAAACAGTTATTGCTTGAATTTACTGCACACTAGTAGACTGTTATCTTTTTGAAGATCATTATGTTGGATGCAAATTTATAAACACCAGAGAAGTATTTCAGAAAAGGAAAAGGAAAGAAGAGGGACACCTCTTAGGTCCATGTTCATTAATAATGGTATTCTGGAAATATTTCATTCAAATATTTGTAGTGTATGTTTATCATTGACAAAAAGGTTACAGTCACAATGCTTTTACATCCATACACTTGCACTCATTTTAGGTCCTTGCACAGGCGTGCAGACAGGTGTTCTGTATGTCCTTTCATAATTGCTATATGCTGTATACTTTATGTATAAGGACTCAAGGTTATATATCTTGATCATTCAGTGGTATTACTTATTTTCAAAATTTGTATTAAATTACTCAGTTAAACTGGTGTTCAAATAATTTGCAGAGCCTACTTTGCTCCAGCAAATAGTAGAGCATTTTGCAGTTATGGTTAACTTGAGCATATTAAAGAGTATAACTAGATATATATATGTATCAAAGGATATACTTAATACATAGGATACATACAATATTTGTTTGTATATTGTGATTTTGTTTTATTGTTTGTATATTTTTCATTTCACTTTCCCTTCCATGTATAAGTTATCATGTTTGTCAATTTAATTTTTATATGGAATCCTTTTCATACAAAATTTGTGATAGGAATGCCTTGTTAGTGTTAGGAAACCTAGCTTGTACCTATTTTTTTTTTTTTTTGTTTGCCTAATTGACTTTTCTAAAAAAAAAAAAAATCCAAAAAACTTAACTAATGTCAAACTGATCACTTAATGGGATCAACTGACAAATGTATTCTTTTAACTATTCATATTTGATAGATCACCATTTAGAGGGGGGAATTCTGGATAATTTTTAGATTTGGGATATAGTTTAGAACAAGATGGAATTGAAGAAAACACAGGCAGACACAGACACACAAACATGAGAACACAGATACCTACTCATATATTCACATACAAACCTATGTTCAATTAACCTGCTCCCTCTAGCTTAATTCAAAGATTATATATTCACATGAAAAGAGTAGAGAAAGTATGTTTATTAGCATTTAGTATACTTATTCTTCCTGTGATGGTAAATGTACAACATAAAGGATAGTATATGTATATATATGGCTAGACAAATAAATATTTTAATAAACATTTTGTGTATGCTCTATTTATACTATATGAGTCGGTATTCTCCAGTCAGGAAGATAACACCTAGTGATAATTAGGTGCAAAATATATTCTGAAATATTTTTTCTCAGCACTCGTAAAACTCTACACACTATGATACTATACAAGGTAAAAAGGAAAAGTTATTAACAGTAAATTTGATTAAAGTTAGTAAAATTTACTTGTGAATTAAATCCAGTGTATGACCACTTACATGTGAATGTCAGATATCAAGATATGTTATACTGTAGATATGAATCCCATTTTCATTACGTAAACATAAAAATCAGGTTTATAAACTCTCAAGAGATTCTAAGTAGATGTGCTGGCTGTTTTTTGATTATCTAAAGAGCTTTTTAAAAATTGAAATTTACAAGAAAGTAAGAATGTTCTTGCTATTATTCCCGGTTCAAAAACAGACATTATGAAGTCTTAATTATCAACCAATTACTTGTCTTAAATGCCAACAGTGTCCATATTAGGGTATGCATGTCCAAAAGCATTCTCAGACCATTTGCTTATTAAATGTTTTCTTGATTTTAGCTTTCAACATAAACATTGATATCTCCACTTAAATGTTCAGCAATCATGAAATAGTGTGCATTAATTTGAATACATCAATGTGCATGCTGCACAGTTTAAAATGACCAAATGTTTAATATATATATTGTCGGACAATTGGTATAAACCTCCTTTGAACACATACACCTTCAATATGATCGTTAATGCTTTAAACAAATAAATGTCCAAGACATCAAAGGCCATATAGCACTACACTGTCACATAGTGGTATTGTAATACCATGAACTCCATGCTGAATTTTTGCACATTTTACTATTCTATTTGCTAGGAATATTCATCTTTGCAGTGCTCCCCACAACGATTTTCATTGGTCTTTTACCATCAAGCATGTTTTAAGTTCAATAGCTGACACTGTCTTTACATCCATAGTAGACAACTAATGTCTAGAGAATAATTGCAAGTATTATGAGCTTCACACAGAATCAATCCATCAGTATGTTACTGCTCCAGTTAAACATCTAGTAAATTGCAAATTGCCTTGCAAATCTTTCTTCTTCTTCATTACCTTTAACAAGTTGACGTTTTCTGTCCCTCACTATAATCTGCACATTAATTTAGCTGGCTAAAAACTGGAATGCCTGTGTTGTAATCAGGCAGAATTATCAGACAATGGGCATACTGTACTTATACACCTACTGGTAGTACTGTGGCTGACTAGTCACCAACTTAGCCCAGTGAATAACTGTGTGAGCACTGCCTGCAAACTCTGGCTGCCTCTTGGGCAGTGCTCAGCTTTATAGAGGTAGTAAAGATCAAAATATTGGTATATTTCAATCTGGTTTTGAACCTATTCCGAGACTTCAAAATTAAATATACCAAATGTACATACCTTGCAAACTAATGACTGGATTGATGCCTCTTAGTACCAGAAAAAAATCTTTGGCATCAGAAAAATATGCTTCTTGCTAGTCTATTTAAAAAATGAGGGGGAAAAATGAAAACAGTGAAACTTTTTATAGATGTTTAATAAAAAAGAAGTAGAAACATAAGTATGAGAGACTGCTATGTTAACACTGGTACAGCTAGACAATATCACAATGCAGGACAATGCACCTGGCATGAAGACCTGTATGGGTCCCAGCTTGGATTTTCTAATGAATACTTAATGATTATTTTTTATGCAAAAATACCTAACTTTTTTTTTTCAAAACCACCGAGGCACCCAGAAGTTTCTTTTCTATTAGTATCTACCAAAATCAGAAATGTACATTTCCCAAGAGCAAATAACAGAATCCTGTTAATACATCTTTTTTCTTTTATCACATCAGCTGCCAAAAATATAATGCATCTGCAGCATATACAATTCTGAATATTTGAAGAAACAGAACAAAAAATAAAAAAGGTTCACATAACAGTAAGAGTAATATCAATTGATAATAATAATAGTAATAATAATAAATGATGATGATGATGATGCTGATGATGATAATAATAATAATAAACATACTTCACACAAATATTTTGGGACTAAAAGAACAACAGATAATAACATTATATCTTATCCCTTATTTGATGCCTGAATTCCACTACTGAATTTTGTGTGGCTTTACTGCATTCTCTAATTTCAATGACAAACTGTTATATGGTGATGTTAAGAGCCCTATAAAATCTATGACCTAACATGTACTATATTCTTTTTCCATCAAAGTTAAAGTTAGAACATTCTACTTGTGACACGCATGAAAAAAGGCTTAAAAGAATTTACTACTTTAATACTTTTTCTTTTCTTTTATCACAAAAAAAATAATTGAGTATATTATTATCATTTCCTTAACAGACATGAAGAATGCAAGAAACATTAAAAAGAAAATTGTGCTGTGCTAAACTATTCATCCTCTGTTTCCACTGAATTTGGTGTTTGCAAAATTATAGGATGGGTTCTAATTATATAGAAGTTCTGGTCATTCTACGATTTCTTTCACCGTAAATCAATACAAAATTCCTTGATCAAAGCAATACATATTCCTTATGTTCCCAGAAACCACTGAGTGCCTCATAAGTGATAATTATAAGCTATTACTATCATTAAAAATAAAAGTAAAGAAAAAAACTAGCATAAAGTACTACAGTGATGCAATAATTGTAAATTACATAGTAAAGCTTCATTAATCTGTCCATGAATTAAATGAAGATTGTTTATTATTTACACTCAGTCATGTGAAATAAATCCGAGTCATCTTCACTTCTCACTACTTCTCTACAGACTCAATTTGCTTTGAAGCAAGACCTGATGGACATTAGCAAAAGAAAAACAAAAACAAAACAAAAAATGCTTAAAATAAAATTATAAAAAAGTTAGCATAAGCAAACATGGGCACTGACAAAGTAAAGACTTGTTGTGATACATGTTATAACTCTGAAATATTCTGGATTCATCCTTTAGTCTTTAGTAATGCTAAATGCACCTTGTCATTCAATACCACTTATAAGCCTACACACAACAAAATAAGCAACTTTGTTTCCATTATTGAACTGAAGAAAAAAACATGCTTAAAGAGTAATTATGCTTTACTTCAAGACCTAATCATGCTGGAGTTCCTGTAAAAGTATGTAAAAATTTTAATCAGCCTTTTATAATTAGCTTCTGCATCAAATGCCAACAATTGAAGAAAACAGACCTATCACAAAACTTCAATTACCAGCATTTAAAAAAGGTACCATACAAAATACCGTTTTCCATTTCCTTAACAGATCAAAGTTTGTGTATTCAGCTAATTAATAAGAAAGAACAGGAACATTCCTTAAAAAATATGCAGGTATACATCTTATAAGATCATAACATGTGTTCTAAGCTACCTATGATTTAAGGGCCATTTCAAAAACTGAAGTACATTTTGTCATTGTGACTTATACTGACCAAAGAGCTGTTCCAAAATTCTTAAAAGTGTACTGGATTATACTCAATTCATTAATGTTACTGAAGACCACCACACAGGACATGTCAAGAACAGCAATTCATGCATACCATACTCTAGAACCAGAAATACAATTCCACACATGTAAAACTGCCATTTAAAAAGATATCTGACAACCCAAATATATTCTTTTACTCTTATGACAGTGACACTATCTAAGTATGGGTTCTACATTTTTTCTCTATGCATCTTACAGCAAAAGTCAATGTACAAGTGTGCATGTGAAGTCATATTCACATTGCTGTTTTTCCTCTAATAAAAGTTTATCTGTGAGGAAAAATGGAAAGAAGAAAGGAAATAGGACATTATACTTTTTCTTTTCTTTTATCACATAAAAAATGATTGAGTATATTATTATCATTTCCTTAAGACATGAAGAATGCAAGAAACACATTAAAACAATCAAAATATTAAGAAACTTGTGAACAGAAAAGAAATAAATTTGTAATATGCTATGCCTAACAAAGCAAAATTTACATACAACTGTTTCAGTTTTCCCTTGGGATTGTTCTCACTCAAAGTAATCAATTAAAAATCTTGTGATCAGCCAATCACTTTCCATGCCATTATCCTAATGCAATATTACAATTTTAAGGATTGATCTATCAAAATACATCTACAATAATTCTTTTGTCTTTTTTACATTAAAAACCTCTTTCTGATGAAGGTGCAACTTCTCTATTTGTATAAAAATATTTTACTGCAGAAGGAAATGGCTAAAATCCAACACAAAGAGTATTTAACACAAATCAAGGAGTCCTTTGTACTATAGGACAGCACTGATTATGGAATTTACATTGCTTCTTTCTCAAGAACTGTGTATGTGCTGTAACTACATCCTCCTGCAATCATGCTTCCTAAACGTATGAAGAAAAATACATAATAAGGTTTCTACCAGTGTCCTTATTCGTAAGCTGGAATGTCTATGCATGTCAAGACTGATGGCATGGATATAGCAAGGGGGAAATCTGACAGCTGGGAAAAAAAAAGAATGACAACAAAACAACAAAATAAAATAAAAAAGGTAGGATACTAAGGATCTTTTGTCAATAAAAAAATAACTAACAACTGTAATAATAAACATAATAATCATGATAATAATAATATTAATGATAACAAAGATACTAACAATTATAATAATGATTACAAAAACAATAATAATGATAATAATACTAACAATAATAATAATAATAATAATAACAATAATAATGATAATAAAATCACAATAAAAAAAAAAATAAAAAAAAATAAAAAATAAATAAAAAATCATCATAATAACAAGATTAGAAAAACCTGTAATTTATCCTCACTCTTTACATTCTCAACATGTAATGAAAACCAACTAAAATCCTTTCTCTATTCCCTCACTTGATTCAAGAGGAGTGTATATATATTTCCTAAAGCTTTATGCATTACAAGTGTATAGAATACCAGCAAGCAGGAACATAAGGAGAAGGACGGTCTATTCGATTGTCACAACCACGATGA